TTTCGGATCAAGTTCGAAATGGCCGACTGGCGGCCATTTTGTTAAAGAATTCAGTTCTGGATCCGTATCCAAGACATGTCTGGATTGATCAAGTTCAAACTTCACACACACATGGTACATCATGTCACAAATAGATATGTGCCTTTGTTTCATGATCTGCTTAACAATAGCGAAATGATGGCCATTTTAAGGCCGAAAATGCATCAAAATCACGTATTTTCACAATTCCAGAACCGGATCTCAGTCATGCATGGATGGATTTTGTTCAGATTTAGCACAATGTGTTGTACATATGCAGGTGCATTTCGGTCATGATCTGCTTTGAATGTATATGTCACTCAAATATGAACGGAACGGGGACGTGTCATTGACAATGACTTGTTGTTTCTGAAATAGACATTTGTAAAAAAAAAAATTAAAAATCATGCTTGATTAAAATTCAAAAAAAAAGATGTAGCCATGTAGCCCCTTTCTGTTATCTGTTTCCAACTTCTTCCAAAGTAAAACTGGTAAAGGCATGTAATTGCCATACAATCATCATTTATGGGAAAACTTGTATGTTATTGAAAATCTTTATTTTGTTGTCTGTGATCAAAATATTCTCAAACAATCAGTCTTCTGGTGGCACTACACTGCGCATTTATGCACAGTCAGTATCCCAATGCGCGATCTCAGCTTACTAAGTGATGATGGTGGTTGAAATGGAAAACTGAATACAAAAATCCAGGAACATCTCAAACGAATTTCCGTCTGCTGTGAATGCATGTTTCGTTGCATCAAATAAATAACCCAATTTTATGACAGAAGCTTGCAATCTTGTGCCATACAGGGTCAAGTGATTGAGCAATAAAAAAATGTGGTTTTATGTATCAGGTTATTGAATGTATCCAAAAACATGGTACCAATGATCTGAAATTTCAGGAGTGCTCGCTGAAGGTTTATCAATCTTGCGTATTTTCAGTTACTAGAATTTATACTAAAAAAAATAGTTTCTGTTTTTCTTCTAATAACTCGGCCACTCTCAAAACAAATATTTTTCCATGGTCGAAATGCAAGAAGAAT